GGGATGTCGGCTTGGTGGTTGGTGAACCATAGGTTGGCCAAATCCGTCAAGTAGAAGATGACGTGAATCAGCTTCGCAGGGTCATCCCACTTGTTAATCGCGCTGGCATGCTCGTACTCTGCCAGCCAGTCCTCGACATCTTGATCTTCAGTGCCGTTGTATACTGGTGGGTCACGCAGACGAAGTACACCAGAACACATGACGGGTGGCAGCGTGGAAGAGCCTTGTGGGGGATCGACGCGCTCGGTCATCGTGGACTGAGATGGTAGCTTACGGCTGCGGAGCTCCAGGACGTTACCCAGCACGTTTCCACCAAATGCAACGAGCAAGGTTGCGTAAAAACACAGGTTATTATTCCAGAAACGTTAGCCGCAACAAGCTGGTACAGGCAGGGACCCGGCAAGCACGAGCCACACACGGACGTCAACGTCTTCTTTCACGCTGGCACAGAGCTGGCGCCACTATGCTTCGGTACAATATATATATATATATATATATATATATATATATATATATATATATATATATATATATATATATATATATATATATATTGTTGCGTACATGCACGAAGAAAAAGAAGCGTATACGGTGAACGCACTTGTCATCCAGAGCGAGAGAAGAGGAAGACAATCAGAAGGATCTTTAACCAGTCGGCCGCTTCTGAGCTGCCCCTCACGACTTAATAAACGGCCCCTTTCAACGTCTACCAGTCTCTTTCAAACTTAACAGAGTGGTGGAGGAGCTGGGTAAGCGCTTCAACTACGGAACGATTACTGCCACAGCTTCGACAAAGCCGTCGACTTGCCGGTCTCCCCCCATCTGCCGTGAGTGACTTCGACATGCCCGAAGAAGCAAGCGTTTCCAGGACGGCACCATCTGGCCCGCTTCCGTACTACCGAGTTCCACCGCCCTTCGGAGGAAAAGCCGAAGAAGATGTCGACGCCTGGCTAACCAAGTACATACGTGTGGGCAAGTCCAACGGTTGGGATGCAGCCGCTATGCTAGCCAACGTAGTGTTTTCCCTGACTGAAACCGCACTGGTATGGTACGAGAACCACGAGGACGCACTGAAGACGTGGTATCTTTTTGTTGAAAATCTCAGGGCGTGTTTCGGCGACTCGGTTGCTAGAAAGAAGCGGGCTGAGCAAACACTGTCGCAATGGGCACAGCTACCAGGTGAGACATGCACCACTTACATAGAAGAAGTGTTAAGGCTGTGCAAGGTGGTCTGTGCTACCATGTCGGAAGAGGACAAAGTTGGGCATCTGCTCAAAGGGATAGCTGAGGACGTGTATAATTTTCTAATTGGAAAATTAAGCCTCAGTTCTGTGTCTGACGTCATTAAGCATTGCCGAACGTTTGAAACGCTCAAGAGGCGTCGAATCGCGCCCAAGTTTGGTCGGCTGGCTAACGTTACAACTGTTGCGAGTGTGGACACGAATCCTGCCCTCGACGATGTCGTCATCTTTAGCCGCACGTTCAGTGAACACAACTCTCGTCTCGACACTGTTTTGAACTGCATCCGAAACGCTGGCCTAATTTTAAACTCGAAGAAATGCCACGTAGGAGACCGCCAAACGCTTGTGCTCGGGCATCTCGTTGACAAAGATGGCATCCGCCCTGACCCCCAGAAGACAGCAGCAGTTGAGGCGTTCAATGCGCCGTGTTCCGTCAAGGAGCTTCGTAGTTTCCTGGGGCTTTGTTCGTACTTCCGCCGCTTTATTCCGAAGTTTGCCGACGTTGCGTATCCTCTCACATGCCTCTTACGAAAGGACAATTCCTTTGAGTGGACTCCGGAGTGCAATTCATCATTCCGTCAATTGAAGTTTTTGCTGACGTCACGACCCGTTCTTCAGCACTTCAGTCCTTCTGCTCCGACAGAGCTTCATACGGATGCTAGCGGCATAGGTATTGGAGCCGTCCTAGTGCAACGTTACGGCGACCGCAAACACGTCATCGCATACGCAAGTCGCTCCCTAAGCAGGCCGGAACAAAACTACACTGTTACCGAACAAGAATGCCTGGCAGTATTATTTGCGATTCAGCGGTTTAGGTCTTACCTGTACGGACGCCCATTCACAGTCGGAACCGACCACCACTCGCTGTGTTGGCTTGTCAACCTTCGTGACCTTTGTGGCCGCCTTGCGCGCTGGGCACTCCGGCTACAAGAATACAGTTTTACCGTCACTTACAAGAGTGGTCGTCGACGTGCTGACGCGGACTGTCTTTCACGTATGCCACTTAGACAACAGACTGTGAATCCGATGACCTTGACCAGCTTGTAGCATCTGTGTCGCCTACGTTCCCGGACTATCCCAGTTTCAGAGCAAAACAGCGGAAAGATGCTAAACTAGCACCACTATTCACCGCTGACCCCGCTTCCACTAGTGCACGCCGTTTCTGTATGCGTGATGGACTGCTGTTCAAAAAGAACCTCTCCAGCAGTGGCGCGCGTTTCCTACTAGTGGTCCCGGAGAGTCTGCGAACAGTTATTATGAGTGTCATGCACGACGACCCTACATCTGGACATTTAGGTTTGGCGCGGACGCTTCACCGGACTAAAGAACGCTTTTATTGGCCTGGCATGCAGAAGTCTGTTGAGAGTTATGTGGCAAGCTGCATGCAATGTCAGCGTCACAAACGTCCATCAACTGGTCCAGCTGGTCTTCTACAGCCGATGCCTACTCCAAGCGCACCTTTCGAACAAGTGGGCATTGACTTTCTGGGCCCCTTCCCAAAATCGGCTAAGGGCAACCGATGGATAATTGTTTGCGTCGACTACCACACACGCTACTGCGAGACGGCAGCCGTCCCCTCCGCAACTGCCTGTGAAGTCTCGTCGTTTTTGTTACAGTACGTCATCTTCCGACATGGCCCGCCTCGCCTGATTATCAGTGATCGTGGACGACAATTCACAGCGGATGTCGTGGAGGAGCTACTCCGTTTATGTGAATCCCGCCTGCGTCACTCGACACCATACCACCCCCCAACTAATGGGCTGGCGGAGCGTACCAACCGCACCATTATCAACATGTTGTCTATGTATGTCTCATGCGACCACAAGAACTGGGATGACGTACTCCCGTTCATTACTTACGCGTTCAACACCGCGAACCATGAGACTACAGGCTATAGCCTTTTCTTTTTTGCTTTATGCACGTTCGCCCCGGCACACAATCGACACAATACTGCCTTTCTGTGACCACGACAACGTCAATATCGCCGAGACTCTCTGCCTCGCCGAAGAGGCTCGTCGCATAGCTCGACTACGCACATTGGCATCGCAAGACAAAGCGAAGGCACGCTATGACATTCACCATCGACCAGTGATTTATCGCCGTGGTGATCTGGTGTGGTTGTGGACTCCGATGCGCAAGCGCGGGTTATGCCAAAAGTTTTTGGCCACTTACGATGGACATTTTGTCATCGCCGACAGACTTACACAGGTACTATGTAATAGCTCGTCTCACGGCGAGTGGTCGACGAGCTGCCAAAACTCAAGTGGTTCATGTTGCGCGCCGGAAACTGTACACGCCACGACAACTCGACTGACTCGTCCGGCGGCCTTCGTCTGCGCGGAGAGGAATGTTGCGTACATGCACGAAGAAAAAGAAGCGTATACGGTGAACGCACTTGTCATCCAGAGTGAGAGAAGAAGAAGAGGATCAGGAGGATCTTTAACCAGTCGGTCGCTTCTAAGCTGCCCCTCACGACCTAATAAACGGCCCCTTTCAACGTCTACCAGTCTCTTTCAAACGTAACAATATATATATATATATATATATATATATATATATATGCGCATGTACGGCAATACTAACGCTTTCAACCAGTCGGCTCTTCCACGAGCTATTCGTTTGTGGAATGATTTGCCAGATGATCTTGCGTCAGAACAAGTCCACATAAACTTCTATCATACTCTTAAAAAATTCTTATGCACCAAAAACTGCTCTATCACATCTTCTTAATCATCAGTGTTTATAGGACTGTTGCCGATTTTTTTGCACTATTTCTAGGTTGTAGTTACTGTCATAATAGTTTTTTTTTGTATTTCACCTTCACATACTGTAACTCACTTTTCTAGTACGTATTTTGCTTACATGTTCATAAGTTGAACTGCATTTTCTATTATATTCATTATTTGCCTATGTATGTGTAGATATTAGGTATATACATTTTTCTAACATATCATCTGTACCACCCCCTTTACACAATGCCCCTCAAGGGCTCTGTATGCATTTTGAGAGTTCTAGGGGGTTCGTTTTCACACGCTGCGCACATAGATAAAATGTACAGTGCCCACACGCTCTCGTTGCAGTAACCTCGGTACTCATAAGAAATACAGTTTGACACATTTCAGAAAAAGTTGAGTCTTGCAATCACACAGGGCAATGATTAATGACATCAGAAGTGAAGGGCACGCCAGTTCACCTTGAAGAGTTGGTTGTGTGAAAGATTTTATCACGTGAAAGTTCCGATAGTTGTAAAATTGATTTTAACAAGGCTACAAGTAAATCAAGCATATAATTGTTAAGTCTGAAAGGCAGAAAGACTAAAACAAACGGATAAAGTACCATACAGGAAAATCTTATGAAGTTGAATGTTTATTGGTAAGCATTGAGAACTGACATGTACTTGTAATAAAGATGGAGAATTCAAAATTGCGAAAATTGTATAAAAAAGGAATATATAGTTGGTCCTATGTTTAAATCAAGGACAATTTTTCATCATTCTACTTTGCCCACAACGCCGAATACAGTAAATTATGTTACATATAACAAGCTATAGTGTGGAGACGCTGTATTGCACATGTGCTTCAATATGCAATACATCGCTTGGACCTTCTTCAATAGTCTGCTAGAAGGTTTTCCCAAAGGCCGAGCTTACAAGCCTAGCTATTACGCTGTGAAGTAGTATAATATGTCCGTATGGACAACAAGGAACTCCACCTTTTGCAGCATAATGAAAATCAAAGGCAAGGAGCAATAAAGTGAGCATTTTGTATGTGCAGCTGTCACAGGCCCTGTATTCAGCTGCGTAATGTAACAAAACAACTGTTCTCAAGATTGTGCCGCAAATTGCACTTGGGTGTTTCAAGTATACCACGTGTCGTTTTCATCTTGAGGACTTCACAGCTTGGTAGAGCAGCGACAGAATGGATTCTTCGTTGTCCCCTGTGGGTGTGAAGACTTTCAGACAATCTTCACGGGCACGTAAAAACAGAAGATCGTCGTGCCATTGTCCGCTTTCAGTCGGACTTCTGCCTTGATTTCAAGCTGCATTGAAGCAAAATACTTCATCATTGTCATCATCTTAATCATCAGCCTGACTATTCAGTCAAAACAAGGAGAAAGGGGAGGAAAGGATGGACAGGAAGGTTAGTCAGTTCCCAGACCGGCTGGCTACCCTGTGCTAGGTAAGGGGTAGAGGGAATAAAAGATGATAGAATAGAGATGACACAAAATAATGAAAAAGAAGAAAACGAATAACAAATAACAGTAAAATAGATGACACTACTACTAGATACCAGTTTACTGGAAAAGGCTCCAATGCATAATATTGATTGAGACGGAAGACGCTTTATGAGGTTAATAGAGCAACCTTCTCGTCTTTATATACTATGCTTATGGTTGTAGAAGATGCCATGCTGTCTGTGTTTATCTCTGCGAATAAAAACAGTGCTGTCCTTATGGCATAATTATAGTGTCATTTCGTTTTATGTATGCAGAATATATTCGTACCGCTTGTTGAACTTGAGTATACAACTGTCAGGTTGCGGTGATTTCGGACGAAAACGTATCACACGAGGCCTCTGATTTCATGACATTGCCGAGCGTACAATACGTCATTACTTCTTTAAGGAATTCTAACATTCTTTTTAAGGTGCAACTCTACTGGACACTTGTCTTGAAAGAGTCATATATTTGGTATATCAAAACTCACGAAAAAAAGAGTAACAGGTAATCTGTTGTTGTTGTTGTTGTTGTTGTTGTTGTTGTTGTTGTTGTTGTTGTTGTTGTTGTTGTTGTTGTTGTTGTTGTTGTTGTTGTTGTTGTTGTTGTGATGACTATCGCCCAGTGCAATGGTGACAATGTTGGATAATCAGCATGATTCTCATTTTTGTGAGGGATAGTTTTAATAGGCCATTGTTTGTCACAAAGGCAGCTAATCATAACAACTTAGATTGAGACTGTCTTTTGCACTTTACAATCTGAAAAGATTATCATTTTTTGTATTATGCAGACATTCGTGGAACCTGAAAACAAGGTGTATTGATGCAAATCACTTGGGAATGTAGACATTCGTTAAGAGATTTCATACTTTTTGTTTATTCATCAAAAGCAACCATGAGGACGTTTTTTAACTGTTTGCTATCACACATGCACACAACTTTGCGAGAGCTTGCTGGCACTTTGAACCACGGTCGCTGGATAAAAAGTGAGAGTGTTGTTGACAGTTTCGGCCGCAACATTCGAGAGGGGCGCTAGTAGCAGGGGAGACTCCAGCGAGGCGCACTTTTGAGAGCGTGCTTTCCTTGCACACCGTTGTGAGTTTACGGGCAACGATTGCCGATAGTTGTGGTAATTGCGATGTGCTGTGGCTCTTACAAAGCGAAGCGTAGGTCAGCTGGGTAATTTTAGCACCAGCATGCCAACGAACTGCTTCGTTCCCCTGTGCACGTCAAACGCAAAAAAAATTTTTAAAAAATCAGATTTGGTCTACCATGAATTTCTGTCAAATGCTCAACGCCGACAAGCTTGGCTCAGAATCATCTCCAGGCAGGGTACTGGGGGAAACGAAACGAGGTGGGTACACAGTGACCTTTATTTGGCTTGTTTCTGGCACTTCGCTGAAACTGATTGCAAGATTTGAAGACCAGTGGGAGGCCTTGCTGGTGACGCAAGACCTCGACAACCAGCTACGATTGTTGAACCGGGTTCGGGTGGCAGCACCGAGCCATGGCTACATGGACTGAGGAAGCCACCCACCTTAGGGCTAAAGTACAAAGAGCCTGGTCCAAAAAAGTTCATTTCATTTCAAGAAAGGCACTAAACTGGGATTGCTATTGCCAACTGCTGTCCCAACATTGTTTCCGAATTACCCCTCATATATGAAATAGATAAGCCCTCGTAGGATAAGGAAGCTGCCTCGAAGAGAAGTAGCAAAGTGCAGCACATCAGTTTGCACGAACAATGGTGCCCTAAGTGGCCTAGATGAAGGCATGCGTGGAAATGTCGAGCGTGATTTCTTCAGTGAAAACAAACATACTGCCACTGCGGGATTTTCGGAGGTAACATCTGACTGTGCGCTGCCCACTGAAAGCAAGCAACAAGCAAGCTCATGTACAGCTAAAATGACGCCGAGAGACTTTGATCTGAAGCGGATGGTGGAAAAGGCGAAAAGAAAACAATATCCTGCAGCGGAAAATCTACCGCCTGAAGAACTCACTGCAAACATTGCAAATCGAACACGATACAATCCGTGAGGTGCTACAGGCTCTCGAAAGCAACAAAAAAAAATTACCTCTTTTATAAGTTTACTAAAAGGAGCAAACGAAAGCCACAAAGCTACAAAATTTATCAAAAAAATAACTCAAATTTTTTTAGTAAAAATCCAGCCTACAGCGAAGCAATTTTGAGGGAGTGCGTTCTGTGGAAAGCATCCTCCAACAAAGGATACGGGTATGTCAGGACAAGAAGCCAGTTTAAGTTGCCCTGTCATGCCACGCTACAAAAGTATGTTGGGCTCTCAGTTGGCAAAATAGGTGTCACATTGCTGATAACAGAATGCCTCTGCGCAGAGCTTCTGGTGCTACAAGTTGAACAAGAAGTCTTTTATTCTTTAATCATTTCTGAAATGATGATGATAACGGGCCCTGCACTACGGTGTGCTTCGAGCAGCACTCAGCACACAAACCACATCTGCGATGTTCTTTCGAAGCTGCTGCTTCGACCACAGCTCCCAGGTGGTCGAAATTTCCGGAGCCCTCCACTACGGCGTCTCTCATAATCATATGGTGGTTTTGGGACGTTAAACGCCACAAATCAATCAAATCGACCACAGCTAACCAACTGGACAGGCAACGTCAACGAAGCTGCGCAGCGTCTTGCAAGGCTGGCACACGAGCCCCTTTCGAGGAAAGTGCTGCGTCTTTGAAGCCAGGCGGCACACCATTATCTCTATTCTTTTTATTTACTTTGCAACGTGAAAACATTCAGTCGTGAAAGAAAATATATGTGCATACTAAGACCAGCGAGTCATTTTTTCTGTTCTGTTTTGTTCTGTTTTGCTGTGGAGAAGTTGAGGTCCATATTGCCTCGGCTACCTCATATCAATAAGTTCTGCAGCGAAAAAAAAGAAAAACAATGCTGAACAGTACCCAAAAATGAACAATAAAAAAGCATAATGGCACACTGAAACCAGTTGAATTATCATGCTAATTTACAGTTTGCTTGCAGCAGTTCACACTGTCATAAACTGTTCACACGTGCACCTTCCTTTTCTACTGTCAGTATATGCACCAACATATTTCATATATGTCAATCCCTGGCTTTCTATCACAGGCGCTTATCCAGTCCGGTCTCCATTAAGAAATCTGTCAGGAAGATGTTCGCCTTTTTCTGAAGGTAATCTCAGGCCGGGGTCTGAGTAAAATCTTTAATGTGAGAGGCCGTCGGTCCAAATTTGTTAACTTGTTTCTTCAATTCTTCTCTTTCATTCGCGTAGTTGACGCTCTCCAAAAGAATATCGCGAACATTTTGTTCTGCATAACCACAATGGCATTCCGAGGTGTTGGATCGATGTAATTTGTGCAGGAAGCTGTTTGCGTATGCTACTTCAAGTAAAAGTCTGTGGATTCATGTAATAATGTCTCTAAGTATCATGGAAGATCTGTCACTATGAAAAATTTTCTATCAAATTCATAAAGTACTAATTCCTTTAATTTAGGGCTATCAAACTACTTCTCCAACGAACAATGGTTAGCTTCTCGCGTTATAAAATGTCGAATATCCACCCCAGACATAGAGATTGCGCAATCCCGTCCTTCGTTCAATGCTTTCTTGGCTAGCCTGTCAACCTGTTCATTTCTCTCTTTCAATGTGACTGGGTATCCATTGCAACACGATGTTGTGACACTGCGCTGAGGCATAATCCACAGTTTCTGCAATACATTGGGCTATTTCACCATTTTCGTAAAGTGATCTCGCATTTTCGACTAGCTGATGGGCAGATTTGCTATTCGTTCTCGCAGATGAGCTTAACCTCTCGCAGATAAGCTTAACTGCTTCAAAAATAGCCACCAATTCTGCTGTCGTTGATGGAGAATTGTGCGATAGTTAGTACATTCTCTTTTTCTGAATTTCAAGTAAAAAGCCTGCACAGGATGACGCTTCTTCGGTGCATGATCCATTTGTATATATTTTCATGTTTTCATTAAGCATTATGTGAAAATGATGAAGTACCATCTGTGCTGCAACTAGAGGCGCCATGTCTGCTTTCTTCCGTATACCACTTATTTCACAGATAACGTTGAGAAGCAGCAGCGTCCAAGGCGGTTTTGAAAGTTTTGATCACTTAAATCCTGGTACTGCTGCTTGGAATGATGATACAATATATCCTGTAGTCGCGTTGCAGTCCTTTGTGTTAGTTCACCAGACAAAGGATGACTTCTACGTTGCGTGAAAATTCTAAATAAATTTCGAGATGTTTTTTTTTAGCTCGGAGCATTGCAAAAGGTGGTTTTCGAGACTTTGCATACACTAAAGCACTGGAAGTTGACCATGGCAACCCCAGACATACCCTCAAGCTCCTTGTCAATAACAAGGGAAGTCTCCTTTCGGTGGAGGCTGGAAGTCCGTGCAGCAGAGGCACTGAGTAATTTACGATGGGGCATATCCACGCAACATGTAGGGCCAATAGCGACTCAGTAGTACCACCCCATTTAGCCCCGCAAAGATGCTGGAGGATTCAAATGGCTTGATTCACTTTTTGTTCAAGGGATTGGACATGAGGCGATCATGTTAGTCTTCGGTCTAAGAGCACACCTAAGAATTTATAGGTTTTTGCCATTTGAATAGGCTGGTTTTGCAGAACAATCTCGAGATCTCCAGGTCTTTTTAATGTAAACGGTAGTATGGCTGTTTTAGCCAGACTCAGTGCCATACCACGTTTTCTTAGAAAACGGTCTACATAATCCAATCCTTCTTGTAAAGCATCCATTCCAGATGGGTATGCGGGTGTCAACGCTGAGTATGAGCGGTTTCGGGCAATACAACGCCGATCTCAAATAAGATATTGCAGGTCGGGAAATGTAGAAGATTTCAAGTTTGCACAGAAAGTACATTCTGCAATACAGAACTGACTGCGGACGCTTTCAGCCAAAATGTGGCAAGATTTGTGTGTTCGCTTTCTCCATTTACCTCGGCGCCTCAACTGTGGAACATGGTACGCGCGCTCTGACAGCCAGTAGTCCACTCGAGACCACTACAGGCTCTAGTGATGTTTTGAGGAGTTAGTGAACGTGTGATTGCCGAAGAATTTTGCGATTAAATACTGAGAAATGAAGAGACTGTTTAAACTAGCGAATATGAATCGTCCGCAGAACCAGCTTCGGCGGTTGTAACAAATTTCACTGTGGTCAGTTCATCAGATCTCGATGACAGCTTCGCACCAGAGGAGCTCCAATATGTACTGTCTTCAGTAAAACGAACAAGTTCACCAGCACCAGATGGAGTTACATACGCTGCCTTTGCTAATTTGTGCGAGAAAGGAAAATTACACCTGTTTGACATTACCAATAAAAGTTTGCAAGATGAAAAGGTTCCAGAAAGTTGGAAGATATCAAAGGTAGTACCATTCTTAAGCAAGGAAAGAGCCCTATGCAGTTGGATTCGTTTAGACATTTTTTTAAATAAAGTTGATTTATTTAACGCATAAAACGTTGCCATTTCACACTTTCTGCATGCGCGTTGCAGTATTCGATTAGGACACAAAAGTCTTGGAATTGAATTTGGTGACAACAATTTGCAACACTTCAGTAGCCCAAAATGCCGCAATAGTGCTTTCAGAACTATTTGTAAAAGAACTTGAAACATATCAGTCCTGTGCCGCGAACACGGGAAAAACTTCGTCATTAGTGTTTTTGAATAGAGGCCCCAAAAGTTCGGGGCTCAAAGAAATAGCCTCAAGGTCACTGCACATGCGCGATACCCAAACAGCATTGGGTGTTAGGTTGGTAACACTATTTCTTTAATTGAGTGGGAGCCCTAAAGCCTGCCCTAAACGTTTTGGGTCAGACAAATGTAACGGCACTCACTGAAGTGACATGACCAACTATTGGGTGAGTATCCAAAGCGCCGCAAACCTTACATTAGAAAACTCTTCGCTCCTGCTTGACCCAAAGCGTCCATACGCAAAGGGCTTGCGTGCCCCAAACTTTTGGAGCTCTATTTGTAAGCTCCCTGGTAACGCTTTCTAGTTTTCAAGCGTGAGTTTGGTCAAAGCTCGCTACTGCCACGACAAGCACGTTTAGTCATGACCGGCCCGTCGCTCGCAGAAAAAACGAATACCGTCTGCATCGTAGGAAAAGTTCTGTCGTATCCTTTAAGAACTGCGCTGATCGGGCACGAAATTTGCCTTCTCCGCTCGCAGCACTTTGACGCGAACACAGTGAGCCTGCGAGCGCTCGACACTACTCGACACGCGCCGCATGAGCAGGGGCGCTGCGGTGGCAGTCAAGTGAATTAGGCGTCTCCCACGGTTTTCGGCGCACGCAGCAGGCCGCACCTGTGCGCTTTCATCCAGCGGCCATGGTTCGAACGCAGCAAAGTGTAGAAAACGTGAACGCATGGTAACAGAACCAAGTGTTAAATCACACTATCAGCATCCAAAAAAAGAACCGGATCTGCCATATCGTAATATATATATATATATATATATATATATATATATATATATATATATATATATATATATATATATATATATATATATATATATATATATATATATATATATATATATATATATATATATATATATATATATATATATATTAGTTAGTTATACGTGATATATTATTTGCCTTAACGGGCATCAGCATCACGGCGGCAAGGTATACAAATATCTACGCTAACTGCTGTTCAGTTCCAACTTACTAAGCATGGTGACATCCATCATCTGACGATCAACATACGACGTCTCAAGGGAGAACAATCCCATCCCTTATAGTTAAAAAAGCAAATATCGCAAGACGTCACGTCTACAACGAAGTTCATGAAGTCACTACTTTCTGCGTGAGACATATACTATGGGTGCCTAATGCGCCATTCTGTCACAGCAGCTGCTTTGTATATAAACTACACTTTTTTTAATCCAAGCCCCGACCTCTATGTATTATATTAGCCGCAAGACATTGTGAGTTCTACTTATCTACTTGAGCGAGGCTTTACATCGATATAAATAACGTCTATTTGCCTGAAGTACCAACCACAAAGCTAACTTTACCTTTGCGCTGTGTAATGTAAGTTTAGAATATTGCTTTTTTTGCGAGGAAACAAGCAAATGAGCGGCTTCCACTGAATGTTGACATCACAATTTCTATACGCCCAGCATTCCCATTAAAACTAGTCTACCGTGTATTAGTTACGACATGTATTTCCTCGTAATATTGTACATACCGTTGGGAACGAAGGAAGCACTGAAATCTGCTTGGAGAAAGTGTACCGCTTTCCAGCTTCCAGAGGGCACTCAAGACCACTTTTCGTACAGGCGTTTTTCTTGAATCCTGGTAGAGGGAGCCAGGTGCCCGGTGTCAGCTCTCCTTTGAACGTAGCCTGAAGCCTGTCGAAGTTGGCCTCTGCAATTTGATGCCCAAAATACGTTACCTCCTAGCTATGGGGAATATATGTCAGTAGGCCTGCGACAGTATGTCATAACTTTCAAAAAAACAAGGCTAACTGAAATTCACAATTTATGCATTTTTACAAAAAAGTTACCTTCAAATTTGTATGTTACATGAGCTTCTTTTTTTTTTTGGCTGATTATGATCCAGACGACATTACATTATCTCTGCCTGCGTCCTCAAAACGCGTTCACGAGAATGCGAGATAATGGTAATGGTTTATGCTCTCTAGGATTTCCAACAGTTTCGCGACCATTGAAGAGAGCATAGTGATGGTATTTTCTAACAGTAGGACCGCTGTAGACCGTATTCGTCATCAGCAATAGTTGATTTCACTTAAAACTAATGGGGACTATATCCACTGTACGTATCTTTTTCGATGCAAGATGGTTCTGCTCGTCGATGTTTTTTTTTTTTTTCACTGCCATTTATTCTTCCTCTACTGCCACGTCTCTCCTCTCGCTACATTTCTGCCTCTGATACCACACACGCGGGACATTTTACGCAATTATAAAACAAACTTTATTTTAATGAAACAATGACATTATTTTATTCAGAAAAAGAAGTTCTACAAAGTGTGGGAAAAAGTTGTTTGTTCCCTTCGGCAAGTTCTTTTCATTGTTTATCGGTTACAAACTGATTCAAGTCATGGAGACAATTAATACTGAGAAGAATGTATTTGCATCACAATTCAATATATTGATTTTACTTGTATAACACTTTTTTTGAGAACAGCAAAAAGCTCGAATTGGCATGCCATATGCATAAAGAACATTTCTGGCCAAACTACTATAAATAAATTTATCTAAGCGCTAAACATGCTATATTATTATAACTAAACACCGTACATCAAAATCTATCACCTCAATAAAACGTCCAATCAACAGAAAACAGCCTAAACGTGTGTATCTTAGCACAGCAGACAGTACAATAGAACGTGTCTATTGTCTACACTACTGGAAAAAGCTGGAAAGGGGCTAATTGAGTGGCTTGAAAGGCGTTTATCTTGCCAGAAGCGCGTGGAGTACCACTTTGCGCCAAAAGGTAGATTGTGGTTGCAATTCATTACAAAGCCACACTGCACAGTACGTGCCCCTAAAGGACCATTTTACATCATTTTGACTACATGCGACACTGGGGTGGCCAGAGTCGTGTCTGTTTTGCTAAATGATATTTCCCCTCCCCCCCCCCCCCTCCAAAGGAAAGACAAATTTAAGCTTTCTATGCGCTGTATGGCTCTCTGAAATATCAGTTGAAAAGATACATACTAAATGACGACAGATATGACTCGTTGTGCTGAGAAAGGATAAGTAATCAGTACTTAATGGCTGCCTATAATTACATACCCACGCACGTGAATATTTTTATATGTCATGTGATCAATGGCGGCGCGCTGCATGTTTTTGATAGTGCGCCGATATGAGAATATTTCAACTTCCCGTCGTGTCTGCCCCAAGCATCCATTCAAATAGGTGGCGTTCGCAAAGTAGAGGATGCTTTCATACTCACGGCAGTTTTATGAGCTCAAGGTGTCAGATAACCTGGCCTTCCACGCAGCAGCCATTAGTGCTGCACCTTCCATCTCTCCAAACTTTGAACGGGACTTATTGTTAACCTAGTTGGTTCATTAAAAAAAACAGACACGATGCGGAGAGTGTGGAAACAAAAAAAAAACGAGCCACGTCATTGTCAGTACGTCTCTTCACTTCATCGCCGTATGCTCTTCGCGCCATTACTGTTTTTTTTTCTTCAAGTATGAAGAAACCAGCTGCACAGCAATACCTGTTGACTTATATTTCTTCTACAGTGAGCTCTTTGCTTGCGTCGTGAAACCACAAAAAAAATGGAGCTGATGTCTCTCAGTTCCTTTCTTCACTTCGTCCCCGTATACTCTTTGCGCATTGTGCGCATTGTCTGTTTTTGCGCATGTTCCCGAAATCCGCTGCTCGCCTTTCAGCCTTTGTACCAGAACTGCGTAGGTGCCGCAACTTTCATATTCTCAATGCAGGACAGTTGTAAAATTCTTCCTGATAAAACGTAGTTTTGTTGTACGAAAGACATCACTTAACACTAAGCCTTAGCTCAATGCGTAGCCAGGAGGGGAGGGTGGAAAATTCCTCCCATGTCCCGCACGCCGCAACAAAAAAGCATTGGCTAGGCCTCTGCTTTACAATGTCCAACCAGGTGACCACCTTCACTCATGTATGCACTTCTCAAACGGCAAGGTAACCATCGTGCATATTAACAAGTGCGCGAACGTATCTGAATTTCCTGTTTTCAAAAGCAGGCCCACGAAGTACGCGTAAGTTCTCTTAAACGTGCACTCATAGCACTGCGTCATACAAATTTACTGAATCATATTATTGGAAGTATTCTCTATGAACGCATTGTGACCACTTATTTTTATATATTCTTTCGAAATTGCAGTCTTCCTCACCTGGAGTAAAGTCCACTTCGATGCCGACAGCCTTTCCTCTCTCAAAGTTGCAGGGCAACTGCGGGCATGGGTTCACCCGCACTTCCGTGAAGTCACCTCCTGCCGAAAAAAATGCAAGCAATTTTATTTATTATTTATTTACAGATACTGCTGTCTCGATACACGAGACATAGCAGAAGTGGGTACATTAGGAAAAGGAACGAACATACATTAAGCAATACCAAAGAAACATACAAAGCATTTAAAACATATTACAAAATATGGTTAGGCAGTTCTTTCAAAAACATTTCAATTGGTTTTTCGTGTAGGAAACCATCTAGTTTGACGTTTGTAAACACTAGCGTGTCAAAAAAGTAGCTTCAACAAATTGCACGACATCTAGGAAGCTTACTTGTACGCCCATGCGTAACCGCGGTTGTAAAACCGGCCCGAAGGTAAGTGCACCGCAAACGATCGCAACCCTCTTTTGCATTAAGCCATATTTTGGCAAGATCGACCGCGTATGGTAACTGGAGGACGTTTGAGTTTCGCCTTCAGCAGTGGGATGCGATAGCATTCGTAATTACTTTAGACTACAGTGTACTAGAATAGAGACAGTGTGCTCACTGCCCTATCCTTGCGGCGCTCCGCCGTAGCGCACTCTGTGTCTACTTCCACGATGCCCACCAGGGGCGCTGACGCTTGACGCACCTGAAAAACTTCTGTTGGTTCGTGTTGGCCGTGTTGGCGGACGGGGCTGGTTCGCTCAGTTCAGTTCGATCGGTTCGATTGGATCAACGTGGGTACCCCTTGTGCGTGTTCTGTGCTTTATGCTTGGATCATTGTGTAGTATGTGTTCGTGAAGATGCCTAACCGCCGTCGAAATTACTGTTTTGCGCCCGGTTGTCGAACTAGGTACAGTCGTGTGCAGGATGCACCACAGGCGTCTTTGTTCAGCGTCCGGCGTGATGAAGAACGGCGGAAGGAGTGGGAAAGAAATCTCCACCGTGCAGATAAGAAACTGGATGAGTTTTCTGCGGTCTGCGAACTGAATTTCGAACCGAGGTTCGTTATCAAGCAGTTCGTGCACCATATAGATGGCAAAGAGGTACGCATTCCTCGGGATAAACCGATGCTGTCGGAAAATGCCATCCCCACGATTCTTCCAAATTTGCCGCAGTACCTCACGAAGAAGATGCCAAAACCGAGAGCTAAAAGAAATATGTGCGAAAATGACTATGCAGCCGCAAAGAAAAAGAGCCGGAGTGCTCTCGAGACTGACTGCACTGAATTTCCACGGGCTGCTGTTGGTGATTCAGGGGAGGACTGCAACTTGACACACGATGACGTTCCAGCGGAGCCAGAGCATTGCTTGTCGTTTTGTTATTGTTTAAAGACTCCTTCCAAGTATTCAGCTCGGCTCACCAAGGATGTAATCAGCTTTTACATCACAACGCGGCTTCATTTCTTTGCAAAGGGCATTAATTCTGAGAAACTGGATAAGAGGAACAGCGTGACACACCGGAAGATTGCGAAAACTTAATGAGGCAAACGTGCATGGTGCATGTTCACTGGTGCATATCAATGTGTAAATGTCTCGATCTGCCATTATTCAGCCTTTTTTGCAAACCTGCATGGTGCATGTTCAATGGTGCATATCAATGTGTAAATGTCTCGATTTTCCATTATTCAGCCTTTTTTTTACCCTAATATTTCTTGTGCAAATTCTTTCATCACTTATTTGTAAATAAACATTATTTTATCATGTAACATGGATTTTTATCATTTCTTTTTAATTCGCTACGTCATTAACTTGACGGATACACGAAATATGAAAATTCAGAGGCAATGAATGAAATGGACTCTGGCAGTGAAGGACAGGAGCGGGTGTAAATCAATGAAAGAGGTCTCCGTCCTGCAGGACCTAACAGGCTGTTGATAATAATGATGCTACGTCTTGTTTACAGCAAGAATCACGCCACACACCAATCATCACCTTAAGTCTCGAAGCAGCGATGCTAGAATGTTAAACGTCGTGCGTGGTTGTCATGGTGGTTAAAGTTTGGGTTTAGGGCGCGCATTTCTGCAGCAGGCACGTAATCAAGAAAAACCCGGCGTGGAGGCTGTCTAAGGCGTTCTACTGTTGAACCCAAGGACGTGTGTTCGATCCTAGCCGCGGTGGCTGTTCTCCTGACGGAGGAGAAAAACGAAACAAGCCGTGTGTCGGCATTTCGGCTGACGTTAAAAATTCTAAAGGGATCTAAATTAACCTGCCGCCCTCCGCTATGGCGCACCTCATAGCGGAAGTGTGGCTTCGGCCCGTTAAACTCCAAAATTTTAATTCTGACATTGCAAAAAAAAGTGCGTAGTGTTTTTCGCACCTCGGAACCGCAGTCGACATGACCGCTGCATTAGCGAAACCACTTTGAACATTGAAACGGCAGGAAAATAATACGATGTCAGTTGCTTCACGCCCTGCACACTGATAAGATGCCCCAAAAGAAGTGTCGTGCATTGCATGTCGCGAACGTTGCATAATTTCTGGCATTTCAACAATTGCGGTGTGGCTCTCTACTTCGGCGCGCCTTTAAAGGAGTTTCAGGTGACGCTGCGAACCGCGCCGCCTTTCGGCGTCGACACGAGGTGAGTCACCCACCGCTGCCTGTGAGCACACTGCCCCTATTCTAGTACACTGTACTTTAGACTGTCGCGCCGCCATGGATGGTTGTATAGATTGCTATGGCTGTACGCTTTAGATCGGGTGGTGGCTAACGCCACCTAGCCGTAATACTGAGTGAACCAAAAACTAGATTTATTTTTTTTCCTTTAAACAGTGAAGTTGAGGACTCGTACTTTGCAGTGAAGGGTTTAGTTTTCACTCGTGCCTCGACTTTATCCACCAATCAGATAACCTTCTTCTAGTTAATTTTACACGCTTAAAGTCTATTTTGCCCTCCCTGTCGTAAACCCCAGTGTCTTGAAAAACTCTGCGCCATCACCCCGAACTATAGGGTGAAGCCCTTTACAGAACATTATCAAGTGCTCGGCAGTTCCCTCCTCCTCTCCACACGCACTGTATACTGTGTGTACCTCTTCGTATTTGGCCCGATATCTATTGGTTCACAATACTCCCGTCCTGGCATCAAACAGTAGAGAACTACCCCGAGTATTATCATAGATTCTTTCCTTGGCAATTTCCTGCTTAAAATGCCGATAGATCTCTAACGCGGACTTCATAATCATGCCAATTCTCCACATATCGGTCTCAGCTTCCCTCACCTTCTTCTAAACCGATAATTCTTTTTAGTTTGGCCCCCTACTGTTTTCTAAGTAATTACCGGTCAATTTTCTGGTTCGCTCCCTCCATTTTGTATCGACATTCTTCATGTACAAGTAGCTCAAAACCTTCCTAGCCCAACGTTTCTGCCCCATTTCTCTGAATTACTTCTCAAATTATATCCTGCTGCTAGCTTCCCTGCCATCAAATGATGCCCATCCCATATCACCTTGTACTCCCTGATTTGGTATATCCCTGTGAGCTCCTAAGGCAAGCCTACCTATTCCACGTTGCTTAATTTCTAATCCTGCTTGAACTTCAGATCTCATGCACAAGACCGCATTGCTGAACGTCAGATTAGAAACCATGACCCCTTTCTATATTCCTCTCACAACATCATACCTATCGTAATGCCACAGTGCTCTGTTTTTCATCAATGCAGCAGTCTTGTTACCTTTAATCGTCACGTATAGTTTGTGTTCCCTTAGGTACTCGGTCCCATTGCTTATCCATACGCCCAGATACTTTTATTTATTCGTTATCTCAAGCGTGACCTCCTGTATTCTAAGCTCACTACCTTCATTATAATTAAAAATCATGCTTGCTGATTTTTCCTTACTGAATCTGAAATCTAACCTATCTCTCTCATTATCGCAGATGTACATCAATCTCTGCAAACCTTCCTTGTTGTCGGCCATTAGTACTATATCTTCTGCGTACATCAATGCAGGTAGTGATTGTTCAATGAGTTTTCCTTGTTTGACGAAAGAGAGGTTGAAGCCAAGTCCACTTTCCTCTAATTTGGCCTGTAATCCTTGTAGTACATCATGAATAACAAGGTTCACAGATGGCACCCCTGGCTCAGCCCACGTTTTACCTCTGCCGGCTTGGATACCTGTTTTTCCCACTTTATAACTACCATGTTACCTCAATAGATATCCTTTAAAAGATTAGTGACTCCATCTTCCAGACCTAGTGTGTCCAGTATTCCCCACAAGTCCTCTTGAACCACGCTATCGTACGCTCCCTTGATATCCAAAAATACTAGCCTAGCGGTATTCAGGAGCGCCCTCTCAAGGATGGTGCAAGCAGACGCTCTTTTGGTGGGCTGTGCTGAGGAGATCGTGGTGCTAGCCTCCGCGTTAACAAGTTAGCAAGAAACGAACACAAACCACTTTCCAAGTTTCGTGCATCAGTGAATAAATCGGACCGTTCGTGGCACCATAAATCTTATTCGTTTTTGCCAGATGAGAAGTTATCGTGAAATATGTAGCGACTGCTGCTTCTAAATATAGCCCGCAGGGGACACATATCACCTTTGTGAGATGTTCTGTAGCCACGTAGTTAGCGAAATATTATCGCCTGGCCTTCGTAGTTGAAACTCATCTTGTTTTATGTAGGTATAGCATTTTTCAGTGCTTTTGTAATGCTTGAATCTCATGACATTCATTGTAAGCACTAAGTCACATGGGCTCGCGATTTGCTCTACAAAATTTGACCAACGCTGCGCCGCTTGTTTTTGTACATTTCTTGATATATAGCGGTATGCTGCAAGCAATTCGCTTGTGGGCGGGTTTCGGAGCGTAAGGTTATCCGCTACCAGATAGCGTGGTGAGTGACGCTATTTTGGCGTTGTCGACGTCGTTCCGTGGAGGGAATTCGTCAGATTGCTTTCAGCAGTGATGTTGCGAAAAAAAACCATAATGACAACGAGGCTTTTTACTGGACGTACAATGTTGTCAATGCACCGATGATAATCGATCAACTGCTAACCTACAAGCAGTGAGTTGCAGTTGACGTCCCCTCATGCATTATTGTTTTTTTTTTTCAAGCTCATAAGTCA